TGTAATAATTATTTTAAAAATAATTATTTCTAAATAAATAGCCTATTTGGCTATGTAAGTAACATGAGATGTTTCTCATCTCTGGCTGGGCTAATGCTACTTTTGGAACGAGGCTTTTAACACTCATGACTATGAATGAAATATTTTCATATTGTGAGTGTTTGGTAATATTTGTTTAAGATTTTCTGTTACAGTGACTGTTTCCTCCAGTAAACTGTTTTCTTAGAATACTCATACAGGGAAGAGCAGAGTCAATTACGGTGAATCACTCAAAAATATGAACAAACATTTCTTGACAATGATGTGAGGTATTCACCAGCCTCTAATGCAGGAGAGAGGTAACAGCTGTAGGCACTGGAAGTCATCTCCGAAGCTTTCAGCAGCAGAAAAATATGTTTGGGCTGGGTTTGGTTTATTCATCAGGTAGATTCTCTACTTGGACTGACTGACCTGCTCTGGGATTGCTGCTGTTGGTTTTGGAAGGCTCAGCCTTGCAGTTGCCTTCATCCAACCTTATGTTGCTGGGGATAGTGGGTGGAAGCAATGTTTAAGTTCAGCTGTCAAAATCTGATCTTTGTTTATAAACGTACAAATATTAATCCAGTTGCTTACATTTTCATGCTACTGTTACAGTGAAATAAATGCATTTTCTCTACTTCTGAATTTTGAAAAAAAAAAAATTCACTGCACAATGTATTAGAAAAAAAATTGTATAGAAGCAAATTATATTGTTTTTTTACAAGTAGGTGCTAACATTTTTATAAAGGCAGAAGTAGGTATTTTTATTCACAAAATGCTGCTGTTTCCCTATAGTGATCCATGAATGGTAGCCTGGTATTAGCCTCAATTCAAACTGGGCCATTAACATTTCCACCCTCATTTTTCAGAAGTTCAAATTGATGGTGGCTGAGCTATCAAGAAAAAAACATGGTCCCGCAACATTCGGGAGTCTGAGCAGATTTGGAATTAGTAAACGTCTGTCAATGACTTTCCTATTGCTTTAGCTTTACACCGTATCTTGGGTATAGGGTATATAAGCTACACGAAATTTTTAACCATTTGATAGAATGATTTTAGTACAGAGAAGGAGCTAATACTGAAAACAGCATCTCTGGAAACAAGAATCACTCCTGCAGTCTTCAGACAGATCTCTCTAAGGGTATTCTTGCTGCCCCATGCTTTAAAATGCACCACATTCTGTTTGGTAGTTTTATTTACATATATATATATATATATATACACACTTATAGCACTCCCACTGTGGCAAAGGGAGCTATATATAGCGTCTAAGGGAGAAAAAAAATTCCACAAGCTTTAAAAAGATGATTTACGAAAGGAAAGCACACTTAGGTGTGATTCAGGAAACAAAAGGACTGTTCTCATTTCTTTTCCGCTGTGCTCAGAAGAATTCAGCTCAGTTTATAGCCCTTATTTCTCAGTCTGATACTCCCTCCATAGATAGCCAACAAATGACCATTTTGCCAAAAAAAAAAAAAAAATTCCCATAGGGTTACAATTCTTCTAGGGCTACCAGGGCTACCAAGCTCCAGGTGCGGAGTCCAGCAGCGCCCCTACCCTGTATTCCACTGCTCTCTCTGCTGCATAACTTGGTGGCAAAACACATGTCATGTCTCTCCCCGAGAGCTGCCCACGTACAGGAGAATGTCTGACCTCAGTTACTGGTTACTCTGTTGGCGCAAATGAAAGAAGCCTGCGCTGCAGCTTTGAAGATCTTACCTTCAAACTCCACTGATTGAATAAGTGAGAAAAACAGTATGTGACAGTATCAGAATGGCTTCAAAGGAAGCTTTAATTCTTACCCTTCCAAACTTTCAAAAGCTCGACAGCATAATTCTCTTCTAGTGAAACTTTTGGTATATTGACTTACAACAGAACTCCCAAACTTCCAACTTTCCGAGCTTTTCATGCAAGGAGGAGGGCTTGCCTTTTTATCTTTGCCATATATACTCCAATGCACACCAAGCTTTTTCTGTAAAATGATGACAAAAAGGGTGCCTGTTCAAGTAACATGTAAACCCTGGAAGAAGTGTAACACCATTTATAACTGATTATACTGATCAGTTAATTAAAACTGAACAGTGTTTATGACATGAAACAGTAGGTAGAGAAGTGATTTGGGGTTGCTGCTGATAAGAATTTTACCTTTTTTTTTTTCATCCTGGTTACTAAAACCTACCCCTTTCAGCACAGGAGAGGCCATTTCATCACAGGGCCATTTTGTTTCATAAAACATTACAAAAGCAGCAAGTGGTAGGTTGTAGTGGTGGTTATGGCAGGGTAGGGGAAGATGCTGTTGAGAGAGTTTTGCTCAGGACATTTGCTTTAAAAAAAAAAAAAAAAAAAAAAAGTAGCCTTATTCAGGACACATTCAGCTCTCCATCCATGTGCCTATCACAAATTTACTGCCAGACTCTGACCTATTTGGCAGAGCCAGAAGAGATGACAAAATGAATGAGTTACATAGATGAAGCTGGCCTGGATTCCCAAATTCCAGCTAAATCTTTGTGCCTGTCCTTATTATGGGCTGCCCGTAGGTCTTATATCTGCAGAGAGTCACCACCAGGAATGGGCAGTTCCTAGGTGAGGGCACTCACCCCTCACTCCTGCTCAACTTGCAAAGAAATATTCCAGATTTGTTACACCAGAGATTAAAAAAAAAAAAAAAAAGTTAGGAGCAGCATCAGATGCTTCTGTAGGTATTTGATATTATTTTTAAAAAGCAAAAAAATACCTGTTGATATTACATTTTAAAAAATCTCTATTCTTCAGAAAACAAACGGATACCAAATCCAGACACTTTACTGATCGAAGTCCACCCAGCTGAACACAAAATTTGTCCTATCCGAACTGTTTTGCAGGAGTAAGGCAACCTAGCGGCTGTTGGTTCGCTTGTTGATTCTCGCTGTAACCTCAACAGTTAAGATGGGACCACATCAGTATTTAGACAAAACTTCATCAAAGTCTTCCTGGCAATGAGTTGCATAGCACTGCAAGGTAATTTGCATTCCTGTGTGTATGCTGTTCTTAAATTGAAGTATTCATTACTTTCCAAGAGGCTAAATTTTTATAGGAGACTGTCTTTTACCTTGTTCTAGGTATGCCACTCTTTCCATTGCTTTTAGCTTGTACCAGAAAAGACCAGAACCTGAGTTACACACATCTAAGAAAAGACCAAAGTGAGTAACATCAAAACCAGTCTGAGATCTCATTAATGCTTTCACAGAGTGGTGCTACAATTAAAACTGCTGAAGAGATTATTTTGTTGCATTTTAAGTTGATAAAATATTGTTTAAGTAAAATATTGACAGGGCATTTGTATTACAGAATAATGTACACTTTAAGAAAGCACCTCAAAACAACATAAGCATTTTATTCACTTGCAGAATTAGGGAGCATCAGAAGTTAGAGGGGGCTGTGCATATATTTGTATACAAGTAAATACATAATTATGTGCACAGTTCCTCTTAATGAGAACTGTATATATGTATTGTGACATATTTTGACTTGGCAGCAAGTACGCAATTGAGACAGTTACCAGGAAATGAGGCAGCATTTGTCTTTAAGACACATATAAATTTTGCAAATGTGTTCTAGTCCATATATTAACTTGTATATACCCGAGTTTTGATGCCTGAAAGAAATAACTCACAAACTTGTGAAAAACATCTTTCTTCAAGCTTTTTCTTAAAAATGTGTTTTGATTTTTGGAGTCAGGATCTCTTTGTGAAAGAACCTAGATTTTCAACCCCCTGTTTACAGAGCTGCCACTGAAATCAGGTCTAACCTTTGAAATAAACGGGATTTCTGAACACGAAGGATTTGTGCATTGTTTGCAGTGTGTTTAGGGATATTTCAGTGTGTTAGCTGACAATAATTTGGGTGTCAGTGCAGGTTTTTCAGGTTGCATAAATGCCAGAAACATTTGAAGGCTATTCCTCCTCCCCAAAAAAGGTAGCAGAAGTGTAATGTACCTATAACATCATGAAAATCATACTGACTTTGTCTTGATGAAATTATTGGCAGAAGCAGTATTTCATTTTGTGCTACAGACATCTTAACAACCATTCATTATCCTTTACTATCATCAATACAACCAATTTTTTAAATATTCTAAAGGGAGAAACAATTAGTGAAAGCTATTGCATAATAATTAATATCTTTCTGAGACCAGACTGTTATCCAAAGTGAAGAGGGCATACATAATTTATATAACTTCAAGGAAGCAGAATGAGACAGATATGCCTCAGACCTGGGCATGTTTTCTGCTGCTTTTTAGCTACAACCATCTAAAGAAAACATTTCAAAAGATCGTTCCACAGCAAGCAAATTAGTTTTCATGCCTGTGGCTCAGCAAATCATACTTGCCTTACGTATGGGTGTATGTCCCAGTCAGGCTGATTGTGCCCTCATTTTATTGCAGGCTTATCCTGATACAAATGATTGCAAACAAAACCTCTTCTGGTTGCACACCAGGTTAAAGGAAAGCAGGACTGGAGTATTTTTTCTAGCAGAAGGCTTAGGCCTGAGCAGTATCAAACAATAAAACTGTCCGTATTCTCATTTTAAATTGTCTGATTTTCCTCTAGTGGAATCTCTGAGGTTGTAAAGACTCTACAAATTAACCAACAATGACAATGCTCTTTTATTTGCCATAACATTGCGCATTGTTAGGTAAATAACTAGTTAGTTAATCTCCAGGAAGGTGCTTCATCATGGCAGAATTCTGGGCTATCACTGTTAATAAAATCCAGCCATCACACAGAGAAGCTTTTGGCTCTATGACTAAATATCCCTCAGAAAGGACTTTATGTTTACCATGCCTCACAGAGTGATGATGTCCCCAGGTTTACCCATTCTTCTGATGCTTTTTTTTTCTTTCTTCCTTCAGGCATGTGGAACTTTTGCCAGGGTTGACAGTGTCAATGCACAGTCAGCTGGACATACATCACTTTGGATTTCTTGCCTTTCAGCAGTATTACCTCAGACTGGTAGAGGAGACCTCATGCTGGTCTAATTCCAGGAATAATTCCAAACAGACATCTCAGCCATTCTCCTCAGGAAGATAGGTCACTAGCCATACACTGCTCTGAAACAGAATTAAATGCATTAGAAAAAGGTGTTTGCTGTAACGCATGCTCAGTTTTCCACTTTAAATAAAACTTTTAAAGGACAAAACCTCCTCTCATTGATACTATGAACAGTACACTGATGCAGATATGCACTCATCTACTAAAAGATGAATTATTCATTTCACAGGAAACATGACAGAAAAAATTACACGATAATGTTTCAGATATTTTGCTCTTTCACATTCTTGTCATAACAAATTAATTTATATTAGAGTAAAAGGACAAATGAAGTAGCAGTATTAAGCACCCTAAGTATACAAACACCACTGGAAAACCCCTAGTTTTAACCCCAGTTCTGATAATATCTCATATTTGACCTCTAGTAAACTCTTTACCTCTGTGTATACTTCTACGCCTGCAAAAAGGGAATAAAAAGATAATTTACTCTTTGCCACAGTGACTGATTGTGAGGCTTATTACCTCAAAGTAGGTATATTGTTTTATAGCATTATGCAATAGGTATTGCTACTGGGGAAGGTTCATGCAAGAAATCTCTTTTAGAAATATATTTGCTGGGCATAAAATCAGCTTAGACCATAAGTAATTTATAAGATAATTTTGCAGGACTGAGAAGCATCTGTTTAGCCCAGATATTTTTTGTATGGGGCTTGGTACCATTTTACCAGCCGAAGCCTCAAACTACCAAAGAGAACAGAATAAACTGGTTTTTGAGTGCATGGATGTAAGCAATTTAAATATTCTGGGCTACACTGAAACTGTCCCATTGTGCCTTGAGTTCATATTTGAGCTCAGACTGCCTTGATCATTTCCATGGCCCAAGTGATAGTTTGCAGTCTGACTTTGGTCTGAAATTGTCTCATTGCTCCATCACCAGAGAGCATCACACATTGGATGTGGCCTACTCATGCCTTCAGGCAGCCAGGACAGGGCAAATCAAGCCACTGGCACAATATTTAGTTCCACTCTTACTAGGATAAGTATCCAAAGATCCACTCAAAGCTTGTCTGCCTTTAACACTTAACCTAAAATATCAGTAGTCTTGTAGGCAGTGCCTGCAGAACTGGAAAAAGGGGATGGAGACTTTGGTTCAGGCATGTGGGCATCCAACTTCCAGTAGTGTGCCCATGTGATGGCACCAAAACTCCTTTCTGAATCTGACTGTGTCCATCACAGACACATAAAGCAGAATTGCATCAGGGCATCCTCCAAAGCACACCAGGTAAATAAAATAAGGAAGTGGGTTCCTGGAATGCACCTGCAAAATAGCTTTGGTGGTTCAATGCAAAATACGCATGTATGATGCAAGTTTTTGTCTAAGGGAGCCATGAAGTCTGGTAGATATACTCTACTCCGAGACAAAGTTTTCATTTCTCTGTTATTTAGAAAAATCGTGTGCATCAATTTCCTCATCTGGAAAGCAAGAATGATACCTTCCTCTGGAAGGAAGTCTGAGAAGCAAACTGAAAAGCTGACATAGGAAAGCTAAGAATAATCAACATCTATACTTTTGACGTACTTGGGACAGATTTGTATGTGAGTAGCAACTTTATACTGGAGAGCACTTGATACTTTTGGTCCATTGCAGCATTTTTAGCACAGGAAAGCATTAACTCTAATATTTATGTAGTAAAGATTGTTCTTCCCTGCTTTGTAGATGCATCAGAGTCCTTTTTTTTCTCACATATTTTTAATTTTCTCCTTTCTGAGGTCATTTCCTCATAATGACTCAAGTTAGATTAGCTCAATTCATATATACTGAATTAGCACATGTAGAATCAAAAATATTACTGCTAATTGTGGCCCAGTGTTGAACGTTACAAAGACGTACTACAGAGACATAAATATGAAGGAAAACTTAGGGTTGAGAAATACTCTTTTTAGAGTTGGGATTAATCTAAGTGATGCGAGAGAGTTCATCTTTTCCAGTGTTCATTAGATGAAATTATCAGGACATGTAACATTACATGTGAATATTGCCTTAATGTAATAACTGTATGCTTTCTATGACTGTGTAAAAAATGCACTTCTGACACAGCAGTGCCAGATTGGTTTATGACTCTGGTTAGCACAAGTTGCCATTCTGAAGTTGTGACCATGTTCAGACTGTCTAAAGAGAGATGGAAAGACATTTATCCTTTATACCTTCAAGACAGTACCATTCATAACCGCAAGACATTCCATGAAGCCAGGTAAAACATCTTTCTTCAAATTTCAAAGACAGGTAAGTGCAATATAGGCAAAGACACTACCTATATCCTCCGGATACTGCTATTCTCTGAAGTTAACTTGCTTTGTGTTTTAAAAGCATGTAAGTATATAAAGTACAAAAGCACATTTTTGTAGAAAACATTTCTCAGAAGTGCTTTGTTAATCATTTTAAAAACATACTCGTTGCTGGCTTTTCTTGGTTTTTTTTTCCCCCCCCCACCTTAAAAAATGAATCACATCCCAAAACTGCATTGCACATTTAGGAGCTGCTAATCCTCCACCATACTAATTTGTCCTCCATTAGATGAAAGTTTCTTACCCGCCGGCTCTGCCTTTCAGGTTGCGTCGGGTTGCATGTGTGCTGCCTGTGTCTGCGGAACTGCCGTTAAGAATAGTGCACCGTACTGTACGTTCCTGATGTAGCTATTCCGTGAGGTCACCTCCCCCATTCGAGCTCAGTGGCACGACTAACGCACGCCACGTTAAAGCGTGTGCGTTTGGCCCTGAGCCAGCCAACGTTCGCGCAGGGGCAGGGAAGTGAATCCATGCAGAACCCCGCTCGTTTCACTACGGGCACACGGAAACCTGCTGCTGTTGGAGCCAAGGTGTTTACAGGACAGGCACCTCTGAAAGCAATTAAAACACAAAATATTTCAGCTCTGCTTGCACAACAACCCGCTGAACGAACAAACAAACGAACAAACAAAAAGCTGGTTTTCTTCATTTTACTTAGTTTCCCAGGACTGACACTGCAAATAAAACAATAAGATCTCTTCCTTTATCATCTGTCAGTCAAAACGGGAAACAGCCAGCTGTACTTTATATTGAAAAATCAAAGAACCGTTCAACAGGATCATCCCAAACTAACGCTTTGGAAAACAACTTGGAAATACAACTTAAATCACAAACGTGGTATTGTTATTTGGTTTTGTTTACCTTCCTTAGAAAATCCCTATCAATATATCAGTCTACACAGAGCGCTTTCTGGCTGCCGTCCTCACAAACATGCTCCAGTGTCCTACTCCTGGAAATAAATTATTATGTCACTGGAGTAAATGTTTCTTCAGGCTGAGCTGTGACAGGGATACACCTGTGACGGGGTTACACCTTGCAAGAGCTACCCGTAGTGACACACAGATGCGACTAAAAGGCCTTGTAAGTGGAATTTAGCAAACACGACTTCAGTGCTGCCATATCTGTGTTTAACGTTATGCATGTGAGCCATCCAACTACCCCGAAGGAGATTTTTGCATGCATAAGTATTTGCAAAATGGAAAATGCCGTATTTTTGATCCACAACAATGAACAGAATTGAGTTTATGTCTCAATCTCTTATAGCTGTTTGGGGTTTTTTTCCCACTGGTTCACATGATTTTATTCCTAGTCTTTAGTCTGATGTCTTAAACTGTGTAACCAAGACAATAGGTCTGATCTGGTTTCATTTTCTTTACCAAGAATAAAAAGAATAAAAAAAAAAGGGAAAGAGAGAGAGAGAGAGAGAGAAAAAAAGGAAATTGGAACCATTCAGTTGATCAGCAGATACATATGGTTAAGAAATTTCAAAGCTGACCTTTTATATGCTTTTTTTTGTAATGTGTATATGTATACATTAATATAGGAACACATTAGCTGGGTATGTTAGGTCCCCAAATAATAGAATTCCTCTCTTGCGTAAAGGAGAGAACGAAACAGACGAAAAGATTTATTCCACTTACTGACAGCATTTAAGGCCTTGTTAACTTTTTATGACATTCATCTCTGATTGCCTGAGTGAAAACAATTCTAATTGTTTATAACTGTAACAAAAATAATATTTTTTATTTAGAATATGAAAATCAAATTCTTGAAAAGTTATATTTTTATTACAACTTTTGAAAACACAGACTGACAGGCTTTTTAAACTAAGTGTTTATAAAGCTTCTTGACTAAATATGAAAACAACTTTTAAAACTTGAATAGGATCACCTGAAAAGAGTGTCTTTTATTAACAATTTTAGCTACAAGAGCCATGTAACAACTCCTAGAAAGACAGAAATTATATATAAGCTGGAACTGCAACTGTTAGAGATGCAAACTTGTAATTTTTAAGACCAATTTTTTTTTTTAATTAATATTTTGCATACCAAAGGAAACAGTTTTCCCATTTCAATTAAGACATTAAAACATCCCTGTCCAAGCTGCTTAGCGAGGGGCACTCCAAAACCAGCAGGTTCAGGAGGGAGTTACATGACTCATATCTCCATCCCCAGGGCAAAGGGCCCTTCAGCATCCTTCTGTACGTCAACACCCTGCTGCTGCTGCTGCTGCTGCAGACACCGAGCCTCCTTTGGAGCTCGTTCTTCCTCTGACAGCAGCCCCAGGCCCTTGCTGAGCTCCCCATCTCCAGTTCACGTTTCCACCACCTCACAACAGCCTGGCTCCCAGTGAGCCCTGTTACCCAGGAGATCTAGCTGTCACGCACCCTGCATCTTCTTTTCCCACCACACCCACCCAGAACGATCCCCTGCATCCTCTCTGGCTCGGTGCATCCTTGGTTTGCTCCCTCTCCGCACAGCTTCTCGGCGCATAGGCATGACCAGCCCACAATTAATGACCCCCTGCACACGATGCAAGGCACACTCCCAAACTTGCCCTTCCCAGGTGATGCTCGCGGGTGTAAGTGATCTCACAGTTGTTCCACTGCCACTACCAAGGTGTGCTGTGGGCAACAGCTGTGTGATTAGGTGCCTTCCTGGCCCAGTATTGCTTTTATTAACAACGCAACCCCTTCCAGCAATTCCTTCGAGTTACCAACACTGGCTCTCTTAAAAATCAAAGATTTTTGTTCTTCCTCCCAGATTCTGTGTCAAAACATCCCTCCTTTTCATCCCAGCTTTCCAAAATGCATTTTCAAGATGGCACTGCAAATACTTGTGCAAATAATCCCTTCAAGCACCTGTACCACTTTCTGCAACTTTGCCTGCTTGCTTACTCCAAAAATGCAAGAAAAGTGATCTTAAACCCCTGAAAATAAAGTCTCAACTCCTAGAGTGATCTTATATTTTTACTATTATTCCTACAGTAATATCAACAGCAAAATATGAAGCACAGATAAGTGCTGTAAGGAAAAAACAAGCATTAATGTATAAATGCTTGAGAATTTGGTTTCTAAAAGTTCTCTGTGCTTCTGTTTATTCCATCAGCAAGAATGAGTGCTTATCATTTCTGAAAATATGGATGACAGTGGATGCAAAGTTTGAAGTAAGATTTTCAAAGCAATTTGGGGGG